AAGTAGTAAAATAGTTGAATTCGGGATCACCGAACACAAAACCATCTAGCGGCAGGGAGGAAGATTTCAACCCGGAACCTCCGCATTATAAATCCAGCGCCCTATACCCACTAAGCCATGCTGCCTCTTTTTATTATGATTATTTGCTCCTATGAGAACCCAGGTCGTAGTCTTTTTGTCGCAGAATAAAAAAAAATTAACAATGACTTACTTGGAATGTAAGACAACATGACCACGATTAGGAAGAGATGAAAATCAAATGCAAAATTGAAGGCGTTTGGCATGGATACGCTGTACAGACCAGACTTGGCTACGTGGCGCAGCGAGGAATATATTGATACCAATTCACCCTGAAATATAAACATTGAAGGAAAAAATACAACAGAATATAATTAAGTAAAAAGATACGTAAAGTAGGTAAACAGCCAAGTCGTCTGCTTTTGGGTCCAACCATCAGTTCAAACTGCCACTGGTTTTGGTTGATTTGGTTCAATTTAAATGAAACACTTTTCGAACCACATGATATTTAAAGAAACGCTTGATAGCTATTCTATCCATGTTTATACTCTATAGGGTTTATATCTTGGTCTCTCAGAAAAAAGGTTTTTGGTTTAAAGTAAATTTCTGCAAACAAATTGTTGTATCTCTATTTTCACCATACATACATATAATAAACTTGGTTCTAAAGAACTTTAGTACAAATCTACTATCGTTCTATTACACGAATGCAGTTCTCTTATTGGCTACGCTACTCACTGCGTATTCTGTTGTAGATAGTGAGTAGCCTAGCGGTGTGCGATTGTGCTTCTTTGCGTTTTCGACGAGTCTGTGGAAAGGATTTAGCTAAAGTTTTGAACGACTAGTAAAGTTGTACTAAAACAATAAGATTTTTCGCTCTCGATTTCTATCCGTGATACCTGACTCCGGCTGCGCCCTCGTCAACTATCACGTGATAGAAATCTCGAGCTTACAAGGTAATTGCTAAATGTGAATTATGGTGCTCTTATAGTGCTCTTGACCTCAACCTGCTCTACAAATCCTCGTGTCTTTCTCCCTATTTTTGTTCTTGTTGTTCTTTGCCATGTTTGAAAAGAAAATAGCCAGAGTATAGACCAAAAGCGAAAGGACTACAACACGTCTGATGACGTCATTTCATAGAGATCCATGCAGTGTCACCCACCTGTATTAAGCGGCCACCTATTAAGAGGTCACCCCTTAATAACTGGCCAGTTATCAAAGTCCAGCAATTATTGTCAATAAAACACTGTAAATAGAACCCCTATTAACCGGCCACTTCTACTAAGTGGTCGCAGCCACCTTTGGTCGTTCCGAGGATGGAGTTTTCCATTGCCCTTACTCTTTTAAGCAGCCACCCAAAATTTAATATTACACTGTACATGTAGTTTGGTTTTCTTTAGGAAAAGACGATAGCAGATAAGAGTCCAAAAAAAGAATTTGACAACTGAAAAAACCATTCAAACACACGTTTATGATTGTCTTGACGTGATTCTATGTACACTAAGCAATTAACCTAAACTAGAAAATATTCAAAGCACACGAACCCCTATCGAGTGGCCAACCCCTATTAAGCGACCACCTCCCTGGCCGCTTAATAGGAGTTAGACTGTACTTGATACTTCAGCATAAAACTTCCAATTAAGC